CAACTTGTTTACCTAATGATTTATATTGTGAACCTACTTCATTGACATGATTTTTTTCAAGCCATGCATACTAGAATAGTAAATATTAATATAAGAATTTTTTTTTTGTTTTTTTGTTTAAAAGAAAAAAACAAAACTTACTTTATTTTGATAACGATCTTTAAATTCTGCACGGTCACTACCAGAAAATGGAGTTAAACTAGTATCCAAAGAATGTGACGGAGATGTATAATTTGAATTACGAAGGGATGTTGATGATAAATTATATGAATCGTAAGATGAACGCATCTTTTCTATTATTTTTTTTATGCTTTTGTAAAGATATATCTATATAAATTGTATAAACAATATTGTTTTAACAGATACGTAATAGAATCCAAAAAAAGAAAAAATAAGAAGGATACAAAGCTAATGAACATGATTGATTGATTGATTGAGCGATAGCAGCTGCTATAGTATCATTACATATCCACATGCATAAAAAAGATCGCTTTTATATAAAAAATTTCGAAAGATAAAAGTTAATCGATGTATTATTTAAAAAAACAAATCTTCCTCATAAGAAAAGAATTTTTAGTTTTAATATTAAATCGACCTTCACTTACATCCAATTGTTATTTTGAAGATATCTTTCTCTCTTCTTATCTTGTTGGATACCAGCAGCACAAGCACGAAGTTGTCGAACGAAGTCTGTTATGTTGTTTTGGGAATTGTAGTTCTTTCTTTTTCTTTTTCTCTCTCTCTCTCTCTCTCTTTCTTTTTAGTTCTTAATATCGTCACAAGAAGAAAAAAAAAGGATAGACAAGCTCGATTATCATAAAGATCACGTACAAAAAGATATATAGAAAGAAAAAAAGCAGTAATATTCTATGTGATCTTTTCCGACATGCATATTGAGAATAACAAGCAAACGACAACAACGAGAAGAAGGATATTCTATGTCTATATGTATTTCTAGTCCTAAAAATAAGATGACGATTTTTTTCTCGTTTTTTTTTTCTTTTTCTTGCTTAGTTGTATTAATATCCATCGATGATGATTGGGAAACCAGTTGCTATATATGCTTGCCTCATGGCCAGATAAATGACGAGTCGATAAAAATAACACAGACAAGAATAGGAGAAAAAAAAGAGAATAGTATATTTCGATGTACTAAAGGATTCTTTTAGTAGTTAACAATGATGTTTTTGTTAGAATAGGAAGTAAACACAAGATCTTGTAGCAGAAAATTTCTATATTGAAAGTTTAGAATTGTATGTTGACTGAATAGATTCATTTAATTTTATTATGTAATATTGATTTTTGTACAATGAAATAGATTGTGATTGTGATATTGATATTCGATCTGTTTCTTTTTCGCCTGCTGATGTTAGCCGGATGTCATCAAGGACTTTTCTTTTATCTTTCCAACAAGTGGAAGCATCAGTGAGGGCGTAGGTGGATGTCTACATTTCCAGACAGTAGCATTGAATCAATAAAGTCATACTTGAACAGATAGAATTCCAACTGTGTTACAATGTTATGTTGTTCTTATTATTATCATCAATGAACTGAGATTCTGTTGCATAATAACATTTAGCTGTGCTTTTCAGTTACTGGAAATTTTCCTTTATTCATTTATTCTATAATAATACAAATTATATAAAGTTATTTATTTTTCAATTTTTTTTTCTAATGTTTATTTTATTAGATTTACAAGATGTTCTGATATTTTGTTTTCATTTATAATGAACTTTGAGATTAGCTAAAATAAACAATTACTAAAATATGATGATCATTTATTTTTCTTTTTTTTTTCTGCACTGTCTATCAATCGAAACTATTTGGAGAAATGATTTGAGTGTCTAATATTGATAACACATAATTTAGATATCTTTACTGCAATGTAAATCTTTGATATTCTCAGTTAATTGATTCGCATTTATACAAATCGTTCATTATCGATATGTATCTTCAAAGTCATTTCAGGCATTCATATTTAAGATCAATAGGAACCCATCAAATAAATCTTTTGCTGATATACATTCTTTTGTAACATCAAATCATGTATATATCATATCGCTTTTCATCATCGATTCAGATTTTCCAAAGAAAATGATATATTCTTTAAATCTATTAAATTGATCTATGATAACGTTGTTGTAATTTAAATAGATGTTAGTTTCTAGATTTTTATAGATTTAAATAGATATTGGATTTCTCTTTTTATTAAGACTAATACTTAGTCAAAAACATATATTGCCGAAATTTTGTAAAGATATTCATTTTTAAATATCGACATATCAAATTGAAAATTAGTTTATTAATACAACTATATTGAATGTATTTCTGTGTACATTGGTCATCTGATAATAGTTTTGATTGTCTAGTAAATTGAAAGACAATCGTCGATTCATCAATTGTTTTTAGTAACCAAAAAGACGAATGAAAGAACTAGTCAAATTGAGCGTGAATTAGTTTCTTTTTGTTGTTAAACCTATCATTATTATATGATCTATCATTAATTACATCAATAGTATCTAATTTTCAGTTTATTTTTTCAAAGCCAAATTTATCATCACCTACGAGCTATATAATGATGACAATCATAAATCAATCCTGTATTTATTCATAATCGTCATTAAGGCGCTGTTGTAGGACATACAGAAAGTCATTATTGTATGTGTTACTTTCCATTGATAATGGATGGAATGTTTTCAGTTAAGATTATTTTTGCAGAAAAGGTATTTATGTCTGATGTTATTTATAACTTAGACAGTGATTCATAGATTATATTATAAATATTAAAGTAGACTACATGTTCATCGTCCAATTTCACGCTTTATAAATAAAAAAAAAGATTTAGTATAATCAAAAGAGTGGCATAATTTGCATTAATGAGAAACGCTGGCAAGTAATAAATCATTCCGAAGAAGAGTCTTAAACTCATTAGATAGATCCTATTGGAACTACAGAAAATCTGAAAAGAGTTGTACCAATGGGTCTTTCTTCTTAAGCTATGAATTTTTTTAGTGAGTTTCTCAACTAAATTTCTTAGATTCTTATTTTCCTGAGATTGTTTCAAAATCGGCTTTTGAGTTTCACGTTCAAGCTTTGCACAACTAGAGTTCTAACTGGTGATGAATGTATTGTGAAATTATTCGATGCTTTTTTAGCATTTTCTGTCGTGAGACATAACTATAAGAACAAGATTTGCTTCTTTGTATAATAGAATTTCGAATATTAGTATCTAAAGTAAGGCGATACTAAAAAATCTAACACTTTCACAATAAACTAGTTCCATTCAATATGTTATTTGTGCGAAGTTTAAAACCCCATAGTTAATTTTGAAAGCAACCTGAATGTGACTCACGACATTTTGTTAACAAGTTCACTAAAATAGCCATACCCCAAGAAGAAAAATCTATGCCGATAAATCTTTTTAGACTTTCTCTAATTTTCATAGGATCTCACTCGATATAGTTTTTTGTTCTGATTCCAAATATATCTTTATTTTTCTCTCAAAGCATTTCAGTGACAAAGAAATCACGAAAAAACTTTAAAAGTCAAGATTTTTAGAACACTTTTATCTCAGTCGAGAAGCATTTGCGCTAACTAATTGTATGTTTCAGATATAGAAGAACATTCTCTGAAGGTTTTGTTCATATTGGAATAGTGAAATAAAATGACGGGCAATTTTACAGAAAGACGTCTTTTCGGAAAACATTTAGCATGAATAGAATAATTATTTTTTTCAGAACGAAAACTTTTCTTATATATCGATAGAACAGAAGTTCTAGTTTCAGACTATTTATGATTTATTACTCAAATGTTTTTATTTTTCACAAAAAAATTATCTTTTTCTCTAAAGACACTGAATTTGCGACTAAGTTTTTCCAAAGAATTTAGCAGCTGGAACAAAATTTGTTTTTTTTACTGAAAAACTGACCGTTAATCAAAATATATAAGTTACTTTTCAAATCTCGAAAAAAGTTCACTTTCATTATTTCATCTAATGTCAAACATTGTTGCCCACTGTGTAATAAATTAAGATTGATCTCAACAGCAATTTATCATTTGGTGAAGTTTTGTCGTAAGTTTATAGATTTAATCTTTCATTTAAATTAATATATAAATAAAAGTTTGGTTTATTAATGGCTAATGAGTTTATTTTTCTTTTTTCTAACAACATACAGTAAACGTTCACAAAACAACATAGATTATTTATACTTGTAGAATGCATTTATTTAAATTTGATTTTTAAGTAAATCAGAAAATTTTGCCATAAATTTATCAACTTTACTTTTAACAATAGTTGAACAATAACCTTGATTTGGATGTGTATTAAAATAATTTTGATGATATTCTTCAGCTGAATAAAATGGATGATTTTCAATTGGTAAAATTTCTGTTACAATTGGATCTTTATAAACATTTTCATCAATTAAATGTGCTTTAAACATTTCAGCTTCTTTTTGTTGTACTGAATCATGATAAAATATAACAGAACGATATTGAGTACCAATATCAGCACCTTGTCTAAAATCCACAAAAAAAATTCTAATTCATCCAAAAACAAAAGATGCTTGTGTTTTTACCGATCTTTTGTTGTTGGATCATGAATATGAAAAAAAACATTTAATAATTGTTTATAAGCTACTGTTTGTGGATCAAATGTAATTTGAACAACTTCAGCATGATTAGTAGATCCAGTACATATTTCTTCATAGGATGGATTTGTTTTATTACCACCAGCATAACCAGAAACAACTTTTTCAACACCTAGAATACTCAGATAAATAATTTCATTTTTTATAAAAATTTCTTTTTCTAACCTTTAAGACGTTGAAAAACGGCTTCAAGACACCAAAAACAACCTCCACCGAATGTAGCTAAATGTTTCGTAACTGACATTATCTAAAAAACAATAAAATAAAAATTTCCCCTAAAATATTTTTTGATACATAAAAGTTGAACACATAGAAAAATATGATTGGTTGTTTTTTATTATTATTATTAATTTACATAAACATTGATAAACAAGGATCTTTTGAAATCCATCCTGTTGAATAATAAAGTTCAAAACCATGAAACATTTGATATTTACATTGTTGATATATAACTGATGACTTTTTAATTTGGTCATAAGTTTTATTATTAGTTGCATAAATATTTTTATATAATTGAAATATTTCAGATTTACATAAACGAGATGGTTCATTATTTGGTCTAATGAATAAAAATTTTCAAAAAAAATAAAATAAAAACAAATATTTATTTTAACTATAGAGTGACTCTACCATATGTGACATATTTACATCGAGTTCTTCCAAAGAGTATAGAGCATGCTCGATTTACTTACTATGATAACAAACGATTCGCTATAAATTCTCAAATTGAAGAGATTAGCAATTCACAAAAGTAAAGTAAAATATAGCTAAAATATTATATAAAACCACCGCAAAAAAGACTAAAATATCCATCATCATATATCTCTGACGCAGAATTTCGACGCATAGTAACATAGAAGATTTTGTAAAGCAAAATTCGCTTTACACGCCTATCGTGAATATCAAACGGGTGGTTGTTTTAACGTGAAAATATTATCATAAATAATTAAATTATAAGTATCTATGCTATTATATGATAATATTTTCACTCTAAAATGACCACCTGTTTAGTATTCGCATGAAAAGCGTTATATATAGGTGTATAGAGCGAATTTCGCTTTACACAACCTGCTATGTCACTATGAGTCAAAATTCTGCGTTAAATATATATGATGATGGATATTTTTGTCATTTTTTTTGCAGTATTTTTATATAGTATTTGCTATAATTTTACTTTAATATTTAAGAATTTATAGCGAATCTTTTGTTATCATAGTAAGTAAATCGATTATGCTCTACATGATTTGAAATGTGAAAATCGATTTAAAAGAATTCTATATCAACATGTCATATATACCGTAGAATCACTCTATATTCTTCTTACTTTCGTTTTCCTAATGATGGTTCAATTAATTCAATAGTTTTATCATTAATATTCCAATTAAGACTATCATATGAATTATTATTATTATTACGATGATTTTCTTCTTTCCATTGTAATTTTGTATGTCCAATAAGAGGATGATTAAGACGATAAGGTTCCGATAATGAATTTGAATTAAAATAATCTTGTAATCGACAACATAAAGCTCGACATAAATGACCATAATGAAATGGAAAACCTTAAATAAATATATTTCATTTTATATTAATAATAACAATTACAAAAAAAAAAAAAAAAGCAAAAACTCTCATATACCAATTGTAATAGAATGCAGATAAATAGGTTGAATTATATTTGAAAGAAGTGCACCTTGTATACCCAAAACATTCCAACTAAAAATTTTATCTGAACATGACATATGTCGAACATGTTTACCATTTGCAATAGCATCAAGAGATAGAATCGTATGTTTTGAATCTGTTGGAATTGTTCCTTCACCTTTAATTAGTTTAATATTATATAAAAGAAAAAGAAAAATAATTTCAATCATATATACAAACCATTTTCAATTTTCGAACGAAGTTGACCTTGTACACGTGCTGTTCGATATAATTGATGTTCATCTTTTATTGATGCTTCAGTTATTTTATCTCTTGGAGTAAATAATGCTGAATCACCACATGGTGCAAATGATGTATAAAAATGAATACGTATTGTTGATTTCAATATTAATTTTTCATTATCTGCTTTTTCAAATATTGATTCTGTATTTTTTCGAAAAGAATCTAATTGTCCATATAAATATCTTAAAAAAAAATAATAATATACAAAAAATATTTCAAAAATAGATTAATATTTACAAACCGGATAAAACCTCGACGAGCTAATTGTTCAGCATGACTATCATGAACAACTAATCCTTTCGGTGATAATACTGAACCACCAGCACATTTATTACCTATAAATTAATATTTAAAATAATATATTAATAAAGAATATTATTCTATAAGATATAGAAGAATACTATGATTGATATTTTATATCATAATTAAAATATGTAAGAGGTATAAAAGCCATTTAAAGCTATCACAATATGAAATATAATATCATCTCAAGTACAACGCATCAGTCACTTGAGAAATAATAATTATTCAATATCGAATAACTGAAGTAGAATCAAGGACAAATGAAGTACACTCTAATAATACGAAACTACAATAAAACTTGGTAGATTACATACACAACATTACAAATATTCTATGTACGTTATCGAAATAATAGATGTTGTCACAAACATGCAACCTATTCTAGTTTCATTCTAGTTGATTATAATTAATTAGGGTATATCAAAAACAGTCGTGGATGTATTTTAATTCTGTATAAAGAAAAAGCCTCAGTTCTCCTCAAAAATTGATCTTGGACTAGGTACATTCAACTTGCATGCAATTGTCAGGACATGATGGGGCTGTAGTGAAGAGTCTATACTAAAATTTTCAGCCCTATATAATGGTGTTTTTTTGATAGATATTCAACAAACAAGAGTCAGAAATAGCTCATATATTAACTCAAAATTTTCTGTGAGTCCTCTTTTTATAGAATTAATTTATTTTTATTTGAAAGAACATGTCAGACTGTAACACCTGGTAGAAGTCTTTTTTTTTTCAATTCTCACTTTTTGTGCGAAGAAAAATGATGATAAATTCAATACCTCGAAAAACTCTTAAAAAATTGCTCATTTATAGAAGTGCTTATTTTATATAATTGTTAGAAAGCTTATTTCAAAACACGAACTTTATCAGTCACTGAGACTTTACTTGCTCGTTCAATTAAAAATAAAAGGAATTAGCTACAATGAAACTCCTTTGAAAAAACCTAGAATACTCGATCAAAAAAAGCATAAACAGAGAAAAAACAAAAAAGACTTCCTGCTTTTACTGAAAATAGAAAATTTTTCAAGTAGATAATGACAAAAATCATGAAAAATTCTTGCAAAAAACAAGCTACCGAATCAAAAATCATATCGTTTATGAACGATTACACGTCAGACTATCTTCCTATGCATTTATCCTAATACCAATTTTCTGACAAAAATTAACTTTTGTTTTTTAGAAGTAGAAAGCTTTAGCAAACTTTCACTCTACATAATCTGATTATAAAAATAATACTTTTCACTTCTGTAATATTTGATCATCCTTTACCTAATATTTTAATAAGAAAATTTCGATAAGAGCTGTTTGTTATAATATGTGATGGTAATATTAGACTACACTTTATCTTTAATGTGTATCTTCTTCTTAATATTTTCTTTCTCACTCTTTTTTTTCCTTTTTTCTTATTTCCTCTAATGCCTATCTGTCTACAAATATAAAGAAATACAGAAACAAGTTCATCAAGTTTTTACTCATTCAGTTCTCTCGATCAAGTATCATATGATTTTTAATGATTTGATTTAATCAAACAAAATCTAAGCGATCATAAAGACTCAAAATCCATTTCATCATACTGCGAGCAAGTTCATGAAGTCCTAGAATACATGAAGAGTATAAAAGAAAAAGTTCGATGAATGGAAGTGACTGTAATTAATAAGAGCAATTATTGCGAACAGTTAATAGAGTAAAAAAAATGAGTCTCTTTCTGTAGTTCTTTTTTGTTCTACTGCTACCACTTTTTTGTATACCTTAATATTTATAGACAGCTACGCATGCAAGCAGACGAGAAATATAAGTAAGAAAAAAAACAAGAGAGAAGAAGAATAAAGAGAACATCAAAAAGAGAAAATATATCAAAGATAAAATGTAATCTAATGTTACCACTACATATTATTATAAACAGCACTTATCGAAATTTTCATTATTAAAATATTAGTTAAAGAATGATCAAATATCACAAAAATGTAGAGCGTTGTTTTTATAATCAGACCATATAGAAGAAAGAAAGATTCTATATAAGAAATCAAAATACCTTCGCTACTACTTTCTAATATGTTCTAAGTATGTAATTATTCGAAATAAATTAGTAATATCATCTATTATGACTTTTTATACAATAATGTAGTTAACGATTATGAAAGATGCTTGAATAATTCCAAAAATTGTACGTTATGAGAGTTAATGCGCTTGAATGATTTTACTAATGATGCTTAAAAATATATATCATCCATTAGAGTAGAATTGAATGAAGTCGTCACAAAAAAGGTAAAGAAAAAAAAATAAGAATTCATTTTTCTTCTATATTTTTACCAGAGGAAATAGAATCTAATTTCCAGGATTGATTTTTCACAATGTTTATTTTTCTTACCTGTTGCTAGACTAATAACAGTAAATGTTTGTTTATCAGTTTTTTCTAGAACAAATCCAGCAAGAACTTTACAACCAATAAGTTCTAATAGTACACTAATACATAAATCTCGATATGTTGATAAAATTTCCGATGCAATACGATCAAACAATGTACAATCATTTTTTGTAATAAATCTCTAATAAAAAAAAATAAAAACGCAAAAAAAAAAGAAGTAAGTTTTTTATTCTAAATAAAATAAGAACAATATAATTTTACTTGAGATTGTCTTGCATCCAGTGATAATTGATAAAAAACTTTATAAGCTGCTTCTATACATGCATCACGTTTTGTTGATGCAAATTCAGCTGAAAATTGTCTATCATCAAGAAGAACAGCTACAGCAAAACTAAAAATTTTAAATAAGAAAAAAAAAAAAAAACAAATAAAAGTAAAATATGAAAATAATTTAAATTAAATACTCACTTACATGGGTTGATGACTTTGTCCAAATTGTGAAATCACTTGAAATGATAATTTTTGTCCATTTAATTGTGCATATTCATGCAAAAGTGATAGAGAATTTTTAGATAGAATAGTTATTGATGGATCTGCTTTAAAATCAAGTATAAAATCATCATAAGATTGTTGAACTGTTTGAATTTCATTATCATTATCATTCGTTAATATTCTCGACATCTAAATTATATAATTGAATAAATGAAATATTTTGTTTTAGTTTTATACCTGATCTATTTAATAGTTAGTTGGAAGAAATTCTTTTTAAATATCCAATCAAGCAGAACCATTAAAAATCTAAGTAATATGCAGCAAATCGATGTAAAAAGAAGAAAAAAAATTCAATGATATATCTGTTAGAAAGCAATAGTTTAAGAAAAAGTAATTATATTATGCATGTATCTTTATAAAAGATAAATATAGCTTCAGCAAATGAAATCAATATTATTTTTCTTGCTTTTTATATGCAAAGAGGTATGTTCAGATTTCCAAAAAAGGAAATTATCCAAATTTCTGAAATTTTCATCAGCTCGATAACTATATAGTGGTACAAATCAAAGGTTTTTAGACATATTGGAAATTTCAGAAATTTCAGTAAGTACATAATTACAGAAATTTTTGAAATTACATCACTTTAGGAAGTAACGTAAAATTCAGAACACAAATGCTTGAAATCTTCGAAACTTATGAAATTTCCTTTTTCGGAAGTCTGAACACTGCTGCATGCAAATACTATTTATACTACGGAAAAAAAGAATTAAATACATACTTATAAGTCTATTTGGATTTGATAAAAGAATCTGAAGTAAAATTTTTATTTAAAAACATCTTTTTTACTTTAGTTCAAATGCATAGTATACTGCTGTAAAGTTGTTAAAATGCTTTCTTTTAATGCAGGATAAGCGAAATGAAAATAAAATAAAATAAAATCGAAATACTTTTATATGAGTATTTCCATCAACAAAAAAAACCAACTAGTTTTTATATATATATATATAAGATAAGTATACAGAGATAAATTTTGTCATTGGTAAACCGTTTTACCCAAACCGCAATAAAGAATACATATATCCAAAGAAGAAAAACAAGAAAAAAAAAATGAAGTCCAACTATTTGCTGGAACACACTGTTATGCTGAATAGAAATTGACAACGATAGAGATGAATGCACAAAAGAGAAAAAAAAAACTCTACAATGTCTTCAACAACAGATCGATTGAGATAGAATAGTTATCAGAAAACTAAATTTTCATTATTGTTTGTATTTGTGGAATGAAAAATAGTATTAAATTGAGATGGACGGAGTCCAAAACAAAACAGAAGAGAAGAAAAACATTGACTTTCACCGGAAGATAAATAGCAGAAAAAAAAAAGAACAAAAGTTTATTATTATTATCTTGAGATTTTTGATAAGCTTCTCGGCAAACATTTTTGTTGTGAACTACTATTCGAACGATGTACACTTGCACTATCATCATCAGTTCGTACAGATAAACGATTCAAATAATACGGTCGTTGATTTAATTCATTATAATGATGTTGTGCATTTAAAATTCCATTACGAAAATGATCTTGTTCAAATATTCGTCTTCGATATTCTTCTTTGACACGTGCAGATTGTGAATAAAGTTTTTCAAATATTAAATGTAGATCATTCGGTCGAAATAATTTTATAAGTAATGCTTCAAAAACAATATATATAAATCGACGATTAAGTGTTTCATTTTGTAATAATTCAAATAAACATAATAGACCACGACGAGTTGTTTCACTACCGATTATATGACGAAGTTCATCTAAACAAACAAAAAAATCAAATATCTTTATCTACTTTTCATTTTACCTGAAACAATGCCGAGTAATTTTGCTTTGCAAAGAATTTGCGTTACATTGCGTACACTTGCATCACGTTCAGGTGCTTTATCAGCTAAAATACCATTGGGCCAAAAGTCATCTCTAATCAGAAGAAAAAATTTTTTTAGCTATCAGAAAACACCGCTTTTTGTTAATTTTATAATACTTAAAACGAATAATTTCTTTAGCAATTTTTGGTGCTGATGTCCAATGTTGAACAAACGTTGCAATACGTCTAATTAAGCAAAAAAAAAGATTACAAAAAAGAGAACTAATATGCAATGTAAAAATCTTTAGAAAAATGTCAAACTCTGTTCTACCATATTACCGGCTTCTAAATCAAGGAAATTGATTTTTGCTCGAAAGAGCAATATTTGAACTATAATATTGCACCAGACATATTTTTTCAGAACGTAATTGACAAGGAGGAAAAACTCAAGGTCAAACATCTTGAAAAGGAGTTCTTATAACTTCACGATCAAACAACAGCATTTTTTATTTTCTGTTAGTTTGTTTTATAATCAGAAGGGAAATAAAAAAAAACATGTTTAATACTACTTTTTGTAGCGTAAACAGTGCTCTTTTCAATGATGTATTAGAAGTTAAATTTATTCTTGACTATTATGCTAAAATATAGCTGTTTCACGAAGGAAAAAGTTGATTCTGTGGTAGGAATGCGTCAATTTTCAAATCCAGTCAAATTCTATTCTAATTCTTGGTTTGGATTTGGTGCATCCGTATTCTGTGACATTAGAATCATATGGAGTCATTGAAATCACTCGAACTCAATAAAGTCATCAGAATGAGCTGTTTTTCCTTCAGTAATTCTTTGAGGACATCTCAAATCACTCTTTGCTTTCATTTCAATGATACAGACAATCGTTCTATCTAATCATAATGGTCAATATTAGGGTGATTGGTCAGTTACCGTTGCATTACCAGTTACCCAATAACAAAGAATTCGTGAGTTTATCAAGGAAAGGTTATTTTTCAAAATCTCTAATACTTTATAGTGTTTGTTCAAATGTTTCAGAGTTCAACTAACACGAAGCTGTAATCGGTTTCTCAATAACCTTTCCTTGACCGAGAAATCGATTACAGATTTTTATTCCTCAATTTCGAAAACCTTTGATAGAACTTTATAAAAAAAATCATGATTTTACTTCAATAGCTATTTTCTGACAAAAGAATTAAATCCACGAAATTTCGGTTCTTCCCTTTACTCGGTAACTGATAACGTAGCGGTAATTTTCCATCTCTATTCCAATGGCTAGAATCATTGAAATCACTCGGAATCAACAGAATTGCGAAATTATCTGTTTCCCTCTTGAGCTTTTATCTAAAAAAGACTGAGCAAGTTGGTTGTTCTTACTATCTGACTATTTTGCAACAGTAAAAAAAAATGTTTTTTGAATTATTTTCTTTGCTATATTTCTATCACCTGAAATATTTCGAATAAATAACGCAAAAAGAACTCAACTCATGCATAAGTTCTTACAACGTGATATATCTTGAAAAAAGTTGTAATCTACAAAAATTTTTTTGATTAGAGAGTCAGGAGCAAACCTAACAAATTTTTTGCCAGAACTAATGTCAATAGAGTTTTTGATGCGCTACATTTTGGTATACATTTATTCTAATTTGATCCATTCATGTAGCTCAAAAGGATTCAGGAATACAGACTTTTCAAATTGAAAAGAACGTTGCAAGAACTTTTTTAGAGATGTTTGATTTTTGGATTTTCCTCCTCGTCAGGTTCGTTCTGAAAAACTGCGTCCGATGCAAAACTTGTAGTTCAGACGTTGTTCTTTCCAGCAAAAAAATTTTTCTTGATTTAGAAGTCGGTAACATGGTATAACAGAGTTTGACATTTTTTCAAAAGATTTTGCATCGCATATTGAATAAATAAAAATATATACCGATTCACTGAATCGCCCATAAATGCTCGTAAAAATCGTTTTAATATTGAGACAAATCTTGAACGAAACCACATATTTTTTTGTTTAAGATCAAATACTTCATCCATGATGACAAGTAGAACACGAAGTGGAATATTTTTAGCACTCTATAATTAACAAAAAAAAACCAGCAAATCGAGTATTTTTATACTAAAGAAAAAATAAAAGCTTTTATTTTACTTCAGCTTGAGATTCTTCAACAATAGGAAATGTTTGCATATCTCTTGTTAAATGAATATTTGCTTGATTTTGATTATTCGACTGTGTTCGAAAAAGTTTTCCTGCATTTTCAACAACACTATCCGACACAATTGTTAATCCATCACCCAATTTCGATACACCTCTAGCAATACCAATTGATGCTTGTTTGAACGGATTTACAATTGTATCCATCTAAATAAATGTTTTAAAAAAATCAGTTTGAAAATAAATACAAAAACAACAAAAAAAAAGACCATATCGTGCAAAGCAATAAAGAAGTGGGGAAAGCTCTTTTTTCATGTAATGTGCATATGCAAAATGGGAATATTTATATTCAAGAAGAAGAAACAAGTGCAAACGTAACCAACCGTAGATGCGATAAGGTCCTATAAGAAAATGATAGATATTTCATTGGGAACATCATAACAATGGTTTGCTTTTTTTATATCAAACATCACGAAAGAAGAAAAACATGATACAGAAGTATAAATGATCTTATCGAAGAAGATAGTGGATAATTGTAAAAGAATAACATATGTATTATCCTATTCATTTTACCTTTCGAGTAAATTCTGTTTGTTCATGTTTCCATTGTTGATTCTTTAAAAACTTCAATACAAGTTCACTAATCTGTGGATGACTTTGAAGAACTTTTGTTTTCGTTAATGTCTAAAAGAAAAATTCATTATTCAAACGTAAATTAACAAAAAAAAAAATTATCTTTACTGATAAATAATCATTTAATTCTTTTTGTCGTCTTAATCGTACTTCTGCACTTGTATTATTAATTAAACTTTTATTAGGTAAACGAAGAAATTCACGTAAATCTGGATAACGTCTTTTTATTGCTATATCAAGATCATTAAATTCACTATAACGACGATATGTTATCCATTCACGTCTTAAATCATTAACACTATTGCCATGAACATGTAATGGTTTACAAGATACAGATATAACATAGATGGCATATTTTTCACCTCTTTCACAACATACACCTGAATAAAAATATTTATTTAATATTTTTTCAAAAATTTTTATCAAAGAAGAAAAGCTTTTCTTCTACCCGAATCATTTATTTCTGTTGTAATTGAATAATTATTTATATTATCAAGCATGTCGGGTACAATAGAAGTTGTACTACCAGAACTCGACGCTGAAGAAGGAG